GCAACCTGCCAGCTCCATGCAGTTATGTACCCACATACCATCAGAGATGAAGGCTTTTAAACTGAGAGCCAATAACAAGCTGAATAGTCCCATTCCTCCTTAGACCATTTTAAATGAGCTTTGGTTCAGAGAAGGATCATGTTCACACATGGCTTTTTCTTGTATGATAGAGGTTTAACCTGCATGTATGGATAGCACGGTGAACTATCGATTCATATATATATATATATATATATATATATATATATATATATATATATATATGCAGTATTGATTTGGGGCCTTGTCTAAACTTTTTTAAGACATGTTGCTATGATTGAATTCAAAATGATCTAATATTTTTTTCATGGAACAGGAAAATGTCTGAGTTGAAACATTTGATGTTATGAGATTTGCACATCAATGAATTCTGTTTGTATACATTTTACACAGGGTCCCATATTTTTGCAATTGGACTTGTACATTTGCTGCAATAAAGCACCTGCAACTCTGAGTGTCCCAGTTTATACAAAAGTGTCTTTGGTCCAGTTGCAGCTTTAATACAAATGTGCTGCCTTACATTGCAGGATTCAGGCTACTCTGTGTCCCTTTACACGCTTCACTGTGCCACTGTTTATACGATGCTGAAAGGTATATACAGGTTTAAGAGCAACCTGAAAGGCTCAAGAACATGCAGACACAGAGAGACTCATGCAGAGCGAGAGAGATTATTCAGTGATACCAGCTCCTTACTGAACTACACCCACACTCATAAAACATTCAAGCACCCCGCAGTCTGACAGCGCATTTGAAGGCATTGAAAAAGATCATCTGTGTCCTATCAAAGTTAATATCAAGAAGATATTTATTTTAATTATTCATCAACAGAAATCTGGTGCTGGATAGCGGTGCCATTTTCCCCCGCCTCAGACAGAGAAATGTCAGAGGCCAACAGCGTTTGATGTCCATGATCAAAAAGTGACTCCACCAGTGTTTGTTCTCATATTTCACCGTAGTATTGGTCAGTCATGCATATATCTTTATCCTGCTGACACGCTCCACTCTCCAAGTACTTGTGTCTTGCAGTTGTTATTGCAGAGCCTAATCTGTGGCCCTGAATAAGCTTTAAAGTTCTTTATTCACTATTTATTCTGGACTGACTTTCTTTGGCTGCTGCTTCAGGGCCGCAGTAAACTGATTTCTTTTTAATAGAACATGCAGAAGATCACCAAGGAGGTACTTACGTGTAATATTTATGTGCTGAACATTATATTTATGTGATACAGCTCTCTGATTACCTGTAGATGAAGAACTGTGTATAATTGCATGAGTCGAGCAAGTGTAACAGTTAATCGTTGTGGTTTTATTTGTAGTGTTTTATGTGATATGAGATGCTAAGCAGTGCTACACCCGTGAACTGATCTGCTTTGGAAATACATGTTCCTATAATTTTCCCTGTATATTTTTATGTTTATGAACTGATATCATGGGATGTTGAACGCCATTAATTAGAGTAACTTTTTGGTTGTCACTCAGTAATCAAAGTGTTGTTTCCCTCATAGCATCATTGCTGAAATTGGAAATAATTACTTTTAAGAACCTTGGGGGCCGTGATAACAAGCTATGAGCGAAACACTGCAATATTATTACTTTTTAATTTAATATGGTAACATCTGAGTAGTTCAAGTATAAGTTAACTGAAGCTTAACTGGGACTTGTATTTTCTGTAAAGTTTCTGTTTGGCCAAACCAAAGTCCTAAATATACTTTTTTCACTCTAATTCTTTCTTTACCAACTCTACAGTATTTTTAACAGATAATCATAAACTTTATACTGAACTGTTAATCATCCAAACATACAAAAGGCACCTAATTCAAGAGCTGAACCAGTGTCAACTGGACTGAAAATCAATGACGACATGTCTGATGGAGTCTTGAATCCTAATTTGAAAATTTTGGTTCAAATCATCGTCAGCATGCACAGAGGAATTCAGGAAAGAGGTGAGACGCTACAGTTTACAGGCATCTGTAAGACAGTGGAGGCTCTGTCATGGTTTATGACTATATTTCAGACAGTGGTGTGGTGGACCTTCTCAAAACTGAAATTATGAACACAGAAAAGTGCCTTTAGATTTTGATTAGGTTTCATTTTTCAGTACGACAATGACACAAACAGACTGGCAATGCAGTAAAAGCATACCTGGACAGAAAAATACAAAATGCAACACTATCAGTCATGGATTGGCCTCCACAGAGCCCGGACCTCAACATTATTGAAACAATGTGGGATCATGTCTGTGAAGGTTCTCAGTCATCCAGGTCATCGTAGTCAAAGGAGCTTGCAAAGAAAAGCGTCTGGACTTCTTTAAGTTGCTTGAAGACGTTTCACCTCTCATCCGAGAAGTGAACTGAAGAAGCTTCTCAGATGAGAGGTGAAACGTCTTCAAGCAACTTAAAGAAGTCCAGACGCTTTTCTTTGCAAGCTCCTTTGATCCCAATGTGGATCATCTTGAAAGGAAACAGAAGAAAAGCCAGCCGACATCCAAAGAAGAGCTTTGACTATCCTTCAAAAAGCCTGGAGAACTATTCCTGAAGACTACTTAAAGAAATGAGAAGAAAGCTTGCCAAAGAGAATTCTGGCTGTGTTGAAGAAAAAAGGTGGATGCACAGAATATTCACTTTCAAGCTTATACAAACTCTGTTTTTGCTTTCGCACATGTAAATTGATGCCCTTATTTCCCACTTTCCCATATAAAGAAAATAGTGGTGACTCAAAGACAGTATTCTAGTCTAGAGGCTTTTCATTCATCAGGAAAAGCCCCTAATTGACCATCAAGCAAATGTGTTTTCTGACAGCTTATTAACAGGTATAACTGCACACTAAAAAGTTTATAGAAGAATGGATAGTTATGAGCATGATTAAAAACAGTTGGGTATCTATTTATTTTCCAAATAGAAAGGATGCAAAGTAATTTTAGACCACATCAAAGCATTTTTACCATTTTTAATGAAGACATTGGTTTGGTTTTCTTCATTCTTCTTTGTGGGCTACATACAGCCCACTTGAGATCAAAGTGGGCTGTATGTGGGCCAAACCAGTGAAATTCCCCTCTGTTATTGTAAACAGTGCCTCAAATGTAGTTTTTCTACATGATAAAGAAATGCTGCTGTAGTAAATAAAAGAAGCTATGCAGTGGGACAGTCTTTGCTGAGCTGGTTCTGGCCCCTGGGCCTTATGTTTGGCACCCACCCCTGTATTATAGGCTGTTAGCATGATGAACTTGTAATCCATCCAGTGTGGTTATGATTATGATTATTATTAATGCTAACAATCCTAAATCCTCTTGATAGACTGTTTCTAACAGGTTCTTACACAGATATATTTACTGCAACATTTGTATTTGCCTTTGATGAGTTATCTATGCAAAGTGCCCCAGCATGGTTACAGACATGCTCCGTCCCCTCGGATTTCAAGAAGCCATGCAGTCTTGACAGATGCAGAAACCTGAGACAGACTGCCAGGTGGGGACAGACAATTGTGCAAAGTGGTTGTGTTGCTGTTACACATACATTATTGTAAACATCACAGCCGAGGCGCTGACCTGCAGTGAAAGCATCGTTTCAGCGGGGAGATTACATACTAATTATCAGAAGCATCGGTTCTCCTGCTGTCCACGCGCAATCATACACGTGTCTCAGGTGGGGTCATTTAGGGCTTTGTGGGTTTCGGCTCCATTAAAGTGACAGCTAAGGTGAAGAGGGACGAACACTAAGAGACGTCATCGTTGGCAACGGACCAGAAAACCACTTTATCTCCCCTGTTGTCATTCTGTGGTCCACTGAGGCTGAAACAGCATGAATAATGTTTGTTTAGCAGTGCACGTGGAGAATCTGCAGTGCACGCGCAGGTGTATACGGGATGGTTGTGAGCTACATGATGTAAACAAGAAGCAATTCATTGATTTTACGTGTAATTTATAGGCTGATCTCTTGGTTTCAAAACAACAACAAGCATTCAGCCATCAGGGTCATCTCTTGTTGGGATTGGAGAATGCATTTAAAAACAAATACATTTAAGGCACAGGGCATGTCAGAGTCAAGCTATTATGGGATACTTGGAGTTTAGCCCCATTTAGGGACAAACTATGTCGATATCTCAGCTTTTGCTCTACTCTATGTTATATGCAATGCTTTTTGAAAAGGCTTGAACATTAAAAGTGGAAAGTGAATGCTTTTGAAGTATATATGAGTTAATTTTTTTAAACTATCTTTCAGGTCGGTTGTTTCAAACATACAGCAGTACTTGCCATATTTCTTCTGTGGATTTAAGCTGTCTGGGTTTCTTTTGTCTTTTCATGTAATCCCAGACTGACTGCATGATGTGGAGATCATGTCTCTGCAGGGGCCACACCATCTGTTGCAGGATTCCAGATGACCTCGGGTGTAGGTTTGGGATCATCATACTGTGATCTGAACATGTCTAATGCTGTAGCTCAAGATTGTAGCACTTCGCAAAAGGCGATCTTTGTGTAAAAGGTTTATTTGTAATGAGAAATTGTTTTAAAAACAACAAATGGGCTAATATTTATCTTTTTTAGGCAGGCTTTGAGTTGCCAAAGCTATAAAAAAAAAGAGAGCTTTTTTTCCCTTTTTTTCTGGAAATGTTTACAGCCATATGATCACCCCCGTTCCCTCCTTTCTTTAAATTTCGGGGATTAATGTGTTTTTTTGTTGT